AACGTGTGTGATGATTGTCCCAGTGATGCAGCTGCAGATGTACACTCAACCATGTTCTGTGGAACACAATAATTTCTTAGTAACATTTCCAGTGTTCATGGTCTTGTTCAGCAATTATAAAGTTGCCAACAGCCTTGTGAGGTAGACTTCTTGACGTTCCTCCTGTGTTAGAGGAGAAAGAAAAAGAGTAAATTCGCACCTCTGGATAGAGATTCGAACCCAGGTATCAACACAGGGAGCAATTGTTTCTCTTCTCAGTCCCCCAAATAATTTTACATTATTACACCCTCACATCTGGTTGGGATATTCTGCTCCCCAGCAACTTGATTATTTTTGTTCCCAGTTGAGAGATATTAAGTGCAAATTTCTGGCACTGAGTGGAATATGGGGGGGTGTTTAAGTTATCTTCACAGCTATTTTCAAACGTTGTGTCTCATTCTTCTTGTAAGAGAGTTAATAACCAAAGTGTAGTTTTTTAGTAGGTTTCCATTTTTGTATGCTCTAGTGAAATCATTTTTGTTTTTTAAAATAATTTTTCCTTAACAGATACCACTGCAAGGTTTGTACAATAATACTTAAAAGGGCCCTCCTTGGGAATTATTCTGAGCTCCCAAATACATACCTTTTGAAGCTTGTTACATTTTTAGGTTTGAAGTGTAGCAGTCGCTGGGCTGGCATGTAGCAGAATCATGGCCGAGTTTTTATAGCAGGGATTATTAAATTAGTTTTCTTTAATAGAAGCCATACGAATTAAAGTGGAGAAGTCTGTTCTGTGTGGCCTCTTTAGCATATCCCAAAACAATATTCAAAAGCTGCTGACATTTTAATCATTCATCTTGGTTTAAGCAAATTTTGGAGTTTAATGCAAGGAGATAGGCTTAACATTATGCTCATACTTTATTCTGCAACTGTTTTGCTTCTTTGACATTAACCTTTAATAAAGCTAAATTAAATATACATATCCTAATGAATAATTATGAGTGCCAACATTTTCATTTACGATATAATGTTTTCCAGGGATTTGGGAATTTATTGACTAAAGGTTTAGTCATTATTCATTTTATAATGTAGATGTTGGTGGGGTGGGTGAGTAATAATACAAAATGCCTGGCAGATTTTAGTCCAGGAAAGCCTTGTTAATTTGCAAGTCTTGGGGCCCTAAAAATTGTCATGGGCCCTGTGACTTAAGCCGGGTGCGACTGGTAGGATCTGCTAGAGGAGGACCCTGAGGCAGAGGGTTGGCAAAGTTCAGGGGGTGATGGAGAAGAGTGTCTCATGGCACGGCTGCCAAGTGCCTCTTTAAGAGATGGGGTGTTAATAGGCTTTACCTCTTGGGAACAAAGTTTGCACTTGAACAGAAACTGGCTGATGTCAGTGGAGCTGGTTGAGTTGGAGGCTGAGGGAAAGTGTGAAGGTTGGATTCTGGTCCCATTGCCAAGGATGTGCTCCTGCAAACTAATAATAATAATAATAATAATAATAATAGTAATAGACGAAGAAGAAGAGGAAGAAGAAGAAAAAGAAATATAAGAGATGGGCAAAATTTTGAGAAAATACAGTCATATCTTGGTTTTCGAACAGAATGTGTTCCGGAAGTCCATTCGACTTCCGAAATGTTCAGAAAGCAAGGCGCGGCTTTCGATTGGCTGTAGGAGCATCCTGCAATATACTCCCAAATATGCTATTTCTATTTCAGACAGTACCTGTAGTTAAAGATGTGTGTACACGTAGAAATACAGTTTGAGTGGGTCCAACATGAAGTCCTTGTCAGAGTGCTCTACTCCCACCCAGCACATGCAGACAGAGGCGCTTGCTTGGAAATATGAAAGAGATACTTATTCAGGCAGCCTCAGCAGCAGACCCAGCGCTCAGAAGTTAGGGAGCAGGGCAAGAAGTTTGTAACGGCGTCGAAGTGATGAAGATGCCCCAACAGGTTTTCCCGCCCTTCCCACCAAGCTTTCAAAGATGGGGCAGGATGTGCTTGTTCACAAGACTCATTTGTCTTGTGGAAATAGTGTGAAGACTAATGCACACTCTGAACCTTCTATTCAGCCTCCCCTCTTAGCCGATCAAAGCCCTCTCCAGCTTCCAGCTCCATCGGAAGGTCAGAGGGGAGAGCTGGCATCCTTCTCCCTCTTCCAAAGTGACTGCATTTGCAGTACAGATAGGATACTCCCCCCTCCCTCCAACCCAGGATCCCGCAGTTCATCCCCCTTATTTCTCCCACCACCAGAGCCTGCAAGCTGAATCTCGACAGCACTGTGGAGGTCATGGCAAAGAGTCAGCATTGACCCTTCTGGTCACATCTCCCCTTAGGGGTGCTCCTCTACTCAGACAGCTGGAGTGAAAGCCTTGACTTGGCCTTGTCGGTTCAACGCCAGGTCAAAGCTCTTCTCCTGCTTGGAGTGCACAGACTCCTCCCATCTCTGCCTCTTCGGGCATCAGTGTTTCCAGTTTGCCTCCCATGGAAGTTGGACCTGCTACACTTCAGGCTCCAGCTCCAGCCCACGAGGCCTGGGCGAAGCCTCTGGCTGATGAGAGACAGCAGGAGCACTGGTTGTTTCAAGTACTTCCACCCTTCAGCCCAGCCCAGCCCCAGCAGAGGGCAGGCAATAGTGGCAGCAATTTGTGCACTACTTAATTGGACAGTCCTGTTGGGCCTTTACCTCCCCGAGCTGCCACTGAACTTAAATTTTATAATTGCTCTCAAATCCTCCCTGTGTTAAATAACTTTTTAAAAAAAGACCTAATGTGAGATGAATATTTTAAGAGTGCTAATAATGAAGAAGAGAAAACAACCACCCTGGCCTAAAAACCACAAATGAGAAAGTGATGTAGTTATAAAGTATGCATGTGCTGTGAGGGCAAGTGATAAGCAGCCTCAGTTTTTCCCCTTGCATTATGGAGGTGGCAAGGCAGGAAGCCCTCTCTGAGCAGAGTTAACACAACGCAGCACACCCTGCCTCTCTTTCCTCAACATAACCCAGTGCTGTTCTTTTATAAACTCTGGTGCTGGACTGACACGTTGCAAAGTGCCCAGGCTTGCACTTAATGCGTTAAGAGAGGTACAATGGGCTTATTATGCGTTTCCAGCAACTGAGGGTGGTCTGTAAAATTAATGATTGTGGCGGCTGCAAATTAAGCGAGCTCCCTAATATGTACTGTTGTTGATCCTCCGAGATTGGTGTGTTTAACATTCCTCAGCGGGAGACTAAATCTTTGTAGCCATTTCACAAGTGATGCTGGCGCCCACTGCAGAAATGTATGCAGCGCTATTTTATGAGACCCTTTTTGGATTCCAGGATTCTTCTGCTCTGGCTGGCAAAGCTCCACACCAGCCCAGCAGTCTCTGTGAAACGTGCTTGTCCAGCCATACGTAGCAGGTGTATTGTGGTTCCTTTCTAGGGATGCTTTGAACATTATTAGGCTGCCTGGATGTGCTAGCTAACTAGGGCTGGAGCGTCTCTCCCACTTGATCAGACCCTTTTGCCTGAGTGTTCTGGCAAAATGCTTGGTGGGGGAATCCGGGTATGGTTTTTCAGTGTTTGTTTTGAATGTTTGAGCAACCTAATTCTTCCCTATCTTCACACACCATGCCAGTTCTCCTGTTTCCTCAAGAAAGGAAAGATTTGGATCTGAGAAATTCTAAGCTTCCCCAAAGCTTAGAAATCTAGAACCCCCCCAAAGAAATGTGAAATCAGCTGGGAAATCTAGGATTTCCTGAAGAAATGTGACCAAGATAACTTGACTTGTTGGAAAGGATTTGACCTGACGCCAAATACATAAATTGTGTGTTTTTGCATGTGTGTGTATATTTGCTTGCACGCACACAGACGTGTTTGCCAAGCGATTGCAATGGAGTTTTTAATTGTATTGCTTTGAATTATAAACTTGCTTGTCTGGAAATGGAGATCAATCTGTCTTCATCTTTGTATTGTTCAGATCCCGTACCAGCTCTGGATCTGGGGCAGCAGCTCCAGCTGAAAGTCCAGCGCATGCACGATATTGAAACAGAGAACCAGAAACTTAGAGAAACGCTTGAGGAGTACAACAAAGAATTTGCAGAAGTGAAAAATCAAGGTAAACTGGGAAGGGTGAGGAATGCTCTTCCTACTTATGTGTGAACAGAAATGTTTGGGGGGTGATTTAGATAAGGAAATAATAATGATATTTAGAGAAGGAATGCCATCTGTAAAAGCCAGTTCTCCATAATCTTTTGCACTGTAGCATGACCACGAAACAGAACTCTAGATGGGGCTTTGTAGATGAGCGGGTAAAGTAGATAGCAGCAGGCTTTATTCTCAGCCCCTGTGGTTACCAGGATTTCCAGGGGCAGGTTAAGATTCTGGTGTCCCTAGGCCTGCCTTTTTTGTGTTGGTTCATGATCTCAGCTAGAATCTTCTTGATAAGCATCAAATATGCGCAGCATCTCTGTCTCAATTAAATCTGTTGTTCTCATTTGTCTTTCAGGATTTAGCTGACCTGTTTTTAACTTCTTGCAGTTGCCATTTTTCAGTGTTTGAATATTAAGGCCCAGCTTAAATGTATTAATTTATATGTGAATCTTTTCCAGCCACTGCCTGTATGCTTCGTACGCATTTACAGGGAATGCTTAGCACTGTGCCGTTTTCTGTCAGTTTAATATGTGACTCTACATGGGTATTTGCTGCCTTCACTTTACTTTGTTTATCCCTAGGGTAGAGTACTGATATTGAAGCAATGTAGGTTAGTTATTTAAGTGGACGGGCCAACTGTTAATGGTGTCCCTTGTAGATAGAAACACTGTAATTACAAGCAGTGAGCGCTCACCTCTTCAAATGCTTCGGGTTGTGTGTGTTCCCATTTGGACTTTGCAGCAAACAGCATCCTGAAATGGGAATGAGAAGTTGTTCTCTCTAAAACTGTTTTCCTTTTACACAACACCTGTGGTTAAAATTGCAGAATCATAGAAGGGACCATGAGGGTGCTAGAGTCCAACCCCCTACAATGCAGGAATCTTTTGCCCAACATGGGACTTGAACCCACAACCCTGAGATTAAGAATCTCATGCAATATAGAAACATGCAAAACTGCAATATAGGTACAATATACATCCACTTTAATACAATATCAGGATGCAGGTAAACAGACATCCACGCGATAGCTTCAGTGATACTGCCCAGAATTAGGTACTGCCATAGTAACCTCTACTGACTGAGGTTACTATGGCAGTACCTAATTCTGGGCAGTATGGCTTTGAGAGCTATCAGTTGTGAAGGCGGCCGCCATTTTTTATTCTTTTTACCTGCATCCTAATATTGAAGAGTGGATAATATGTTTTGTAGCTTTTCTATATTGCAGTTTTGCTCACAGGAAAGACTCACTGAAACTTTCTGCAATGTATGTGTTTGCATGTCTGTATAAAACAGGAAATAAGCAGCATTTAGCTGAAAAGATATGCATTGGTCAAACAGTTTTTGTGCACTAATTGCTGCCTGACTGAACTTCCGCTGGTGATGAAAATGAGTGGTGGGGAGGATTATATCCCTTCTGCTGTGGAGTTTCACATAATGGGGGGCTAGTACCAAAGAGACCCTGCCATTTATTCTGGCAGATGTCTCCATGAAAATAGAGAACGTAGAGAAAGCCTTCATTAGTTGTTGTTAATACTTAGAATGGTAAATAATTCTTTCTTTTTAAGGAGAAGGTGCTCCCTCAGGTTGCTATTGATGTTTATTGTGAGCCATAGCACATGCACACAATTGCCCAGCCCGCAGCTTCCCTGGTCAAAAGAATGAGAATAATAACAACAAAAGTACCCTGAAATATAATGCAGGTACAAGCATTGTTGGTTTACAATACCTATGTTAGTCCCCAGCTTTGGAGTCAAGCACACCAGCAGGAAAGAGGAAGTAGCTGAGTTATACTGGCTCACTGCTTGCTTCAGGGTGGCAGAAGAAATATACTTGGCATTGTATCCAGCTAAGTTGTATGCAGAGTACAACCCCTGAAATTAATAGACCCAATTTATTCATGCCCATTGTTTTCTACTCTGAGTTGGATCAGCCTTAGATGCAATCCTCTGGATATAGACTACATGGTCATCCCTTGTATCTCCTCCAAAACGAAGAAGCATAAGTGTTGGCACACTGAATCTTGGTACAAGCCAGGAGGGGCCAGGAGGAGCTTTGGTCCCCCTGGTGGTAGTCCATAGCATCCTAGGGAATCCCACACCATGTTTTGCTGCTACTTCTTATGCTCCTTGCTGCCACGGCACAGTTCACACATACCTGCAGCCTGGCTTCCCCCTGCTCTCTGCGCCACTCGCCCACTTCAGCCCTCTTGTATCAGCAGATAGATCTTACCCTCGGGCAGGGCAACATTCAGGGCTGCTAAGAAAAGCTTGCAAGCTTCTAATTCTGTATATATTTTAAGCACTCTAGGGAGGAGGCTCTGTTTGAGTGGCCTTGGGCACATCTGGCTGTGAGCTGTTCAGGGACTCTCGTCCAGTAGTTAAGCACATTCTTTGCATGGGGAAGGTTTCATGTTTTTGTCCCCAGAATCTCCAGCTAGGGTTGGGGTGGGGGGGTTCCTCTCTGAAATCCTAGAGGTCCCTGTGGACAGGCCATCGTGTGACTGTGTTTCAGACAATTTCCTGATCCTCATCTCTGATCACCCTAGAGCTTAATGTAGGGCGATGAGGTGTCTTGCCGGCGATTCCACCCTGCAGTCAGGTTAGAGAAACCTTCACTCCGCTTCCCGGCAGCGTCCATTGATCCTGCTTAACCTTAAACATTTAAAGTTCAATTTACCATTTAGGGAGTAAAAGGTATCCAAAGGGACTTGTGGCCATTGATTTTGTGTCAGGGCTGGAGAGCGAAAATTTAAGCCCTGCTGCTGCTGCTGCTGCTGCTGCTGCTGCTGCACCACCTCCAAGATAGCCGCACTCTGCCACTGCGTGGTATCATTATTTACCTTGGCTCATTTTCTCCCCTCGCTTTCTTTCTTTCTTTCTCCTCTCCCCACTTGAAACAGAGGTGACAATAAAAGCACTTAAAGAGAAAATCCGGGAATATGAGCAGACCCTGAAGAACCAAGCGGAGAACATTGCTCTTGAGAAGGAACAAAAGTTGCAGAATGACTTTGCTGAGAAAGAAAGGTAAGTTAACGTGTGCAGGTGGGGCATTTCTGTATTCCCTGCCCCCAATCTTTCCCTTTTGAAAGAAGAGCATATTGGGAAAGAAGAGCACTAAGCACTGGGCAGGATGGTGGTGAATGCAGTGGTAGTGCTTGTTTTAATATTGTATTTATCATTATAGACCATCCTTCATGTAAAAGGTAAAGCAACACAGCTAAAACTACAAATACAAGTAAAACACAGTAGTTAAGAAGACCATTGAGATCATGGGCAGCATAAAAACAGCCAGTAAAATTTTAAAAATCCATTTTAAAAGCCCGGGAAAATAGAAGGACTGCTCTGATCATGTGGCACTTTTTCCACATTGACTTGTCTGCATTGGAGCTATGATGTCCATCACTGAACATCAGATTGCTCCATTGATGAGTGGGGAGGGTTGATAATCCAACCTGCACAGATCAGCTGAATGGCTCACAGGGGGAGGGTCTTACTTTTGGTCTCACCCATTGCTGGTATGCAGATCCCATAGAGCTGGCCAACGAACCCTCAAACCAAAAAAGGTTAGCTATCCTTGTTTTAGGGAATGCACTCAGAGGAGCTTGCTTCTGTTGAAATTAGACAGTGGAAGAACTCATCGGTTCCAACCCTGTGTAAGATGCATTTTTATGTTTTTATTTTATGTTACATGGAGATGAATATATTTTAAGTTGCCTTTTGTTTCCTTGGCTTTCTCCCTACAGAATGTTGCAAGAGACGCAGGTTTCAACAGCCTCAAAGCTGGAGGAGGCTGAACACAAAGTGCAAGCGTTGCAAACAGGTTTGCTATTTGACTGATTCAAACGGAGAAGGGGGAGGTGCTTTGGGTTCATCGAAACATTGGCCACCTCCTCTCTTTGGCCCAGAGCAGATGCAAGGCTACCAGTTTCTGAACCATAGTTAGGAGACAGCAAGCCTGCCATACATGAGCTCACTCCCACTCACCTCCACTACCTACCTGGATTTCTGATGAGGATGAACTTTGGCTCACCATAGCACCCACACTGGTACTATGGGAATGGGTTAGAACCAAGCTTAGAACACAAGATGGGCCCAAAGGGGGCACATCTATCCCACCATCCAGTCCTCACAGTGGCCAATGATTTTCTCATGGGAAGCCATGCTCAAGCAGGATTCTCCCCTCCTACCAGACCAACTCTGCCTGTGGCCAGTTAAAGGTTGGGTCCTCAGCCCTCGACAAGCACCCTGGGATCTTTGTGGCCACCAATGGCCTTTGTTGAGGAGGACCCTCTTATACCCCCAGACCTGGGACCAGACCAAACCAGTCTGTTGCATCTTGATTTCTGTGCCTGATGTTCTCAGAAAGACTTAGAGATGGGGGTTACTTTCCTTCCTTTGGCTCCCACACTGAAGTTCAGTCACTTTAAGTTGTCCCTCCCTCCCTCCCTCCCTCCCTTTCCTCAGTCTCTCCTTCCCTCCCTGCCAGTAGCTTGTTCTTGACTTACCTGCTCTTGCTTCCCTGCCTGAGCTTCAGCCTGCCTGGCTTCTTTCCCATCTGAAGCCAGAGCAGGTCCCCGTTTTAACTGGCACAAATGGTTTGTGTCACAGATGCAGATCTATAAACGGAATATAATGTGCTTAGCTAGATTCAGCGGGACAGAATCTGGAAACTTTCACTGTTCCTGAAAGAGAGAGAGAGAATGTATGTGTGCGTGTTTTCTAAAGGAAAGAATTTTGAAAAGCTTTTAAGCCTTGTTTTTCTGCAATGTGATTTTGTTTGGTCAGGGAGAAAGCTTAATGCAAGATGACTTTTCAGACGGAGAACAGTTTATAGTTCAATAGTAATCGAGTAGCCCTTTTTTATCATTACGTCGCTCTTAACATGTCAGTAATGCCTTGGCATGTTGCTTTCCCCCCTCTATCCCCTTCAGCCTTGGAAAAGACACGGACGGAGTTATTTGACCTGAAGACAAAATATGATGAGGAAACAACGGCAAAGTAAGACTTCATGGCTCCTCTTTAGATATACGCCGCGTGTTTTTAGTGCTCTGACATCTTCATGTCATTGGGTAAAGCAAAATATAATTTTTAAAAAACTGGGCCTTGTTCTTAGACCCGTGTACATGATGACTTCATCTACATATTTCTTTTCTGATATAAATGGAAGTGCCTCTGCAGGGTGCAGCAGAAACACAATAATTATATGGTTCTATATGCTTGGATTAGGGATGCGGGTGGCGCTGTGGGTAAAACCTTAGCGCCTAGGACTTGCCGATCGTCAGGTCGGCGGTTCGAATCCCCGCGGCGGGGTGCACTCCCGTTGCTCGGTCCCAGCGCCTGCCAACCTAGCAGTTCGAAAGCACCCTCGGGTGCAAGTAGATAAATAGGGACTGCTTACTAGCGGGAAGGTAAACGGCGTTTCCGTGTGCTGCGCTGGTGCAGGCTCGCCAGAGCAGCTTCGTCACGCTGGCCACGTGACCCGGAAGTGTCTTCGGACAGCGCTGGCCCCTGGCCTCTTAAGCGAGATGGGCGCGCAACCCCAGAGTCGGACACGACTGGCCCGTACGGGCAGGGGTACCTTTACCTTTACCTTTATATGCTTGGATTAGCATAGGAACAATAAAATTGGGGGGGGCGCAGGTGTAGTGGGTCTTAACATTTCAAGAGCACCATGCTTGCTCTTCCCTATTGCCCCAAATCCACACAGGGATGAAAGTAGCCAAGATGATCTTGATGCCAGCATATGAAGTTGCTTTAAAGTGAGTCTGGCGCTCTGACACTGAGAGGTTGCCACTGCCCAAGATTTAACCCATCTTCTTGATGGAACTAATGTCACACACCCCACTTTCCAACAAGATAGGTTTTTCTAAAATGAAAACCTTGTGGTGGTGGCTCCATCCAACACCATTGATTTATGGGACCAGCAGCATTAGATGCCCGTTGCTAACACAGCAAACAACTAACAGCA